TAATCACATACGCTGTACTTTAAATCTTTGCTTTGCCTTATGATTTCACATTTTAATGTGTTCTGTAAAATATTTTCAGAAGATGCAGTGAGAAACCATAAAAGCAATAACTACAGAATTTTTTCATAGGAATCAGGGAGCAGAAGGTTAGGATCCATGATAACATTGAAAACATACTGCAAAATGTTACTTTAAGAGCCACATGACTACTGTGCATTCCACAGAGTTGGGACCTGCACGCTTTCCCTGCCCCATCCTTAACAGGGGTGCGCCAGGGGCCAGCACAGTGAGTCTTCTCTCTCCTAGGGAGTTGAGGATGGTCAAAGAACCAGGGTGGATCTCAGGGATCTTCAAAGCCACATACTTCCGAGTGTAGAAGCCCCTGGCACCCCAGGACCAAAGGAATGTCACAGTTACTGAGCACTCAGAGTAGTACAGCTATCCTGTCAGGATGAGCCCAGGTAAGACCTGAGGATGATCTCAGGTTAGCAGAGAGTTGGATGAGTCTTCCTAGACCAAATCTTAGGTGCCCTAGAAATTGAATCTAGATAATATTTGGATAATTCTTTCTTACTCACTCATTTATGGATCCAAAGCATTTTTAAAATGCTGCCACTTGCTTACTCTTCTATACACGGAAGGATAGCTGAGTGATCCATGTATTTGATCTTTGGTAGGGAAAGGTTGGTGAGAAGAAGAGGACGCCCTCCACTTTTCTATAAAACACTGTTACTTTCATCTTTTCATTTCTGTAGCCACCATTATATTTGACATAGTGGCTACTTCCTCCTCATTATAACAGTGTCTGTAATTGACCATAATTGATTCTTAAATAGTATTTCCTATTTATTTTACTGTTGATGACATGTCATTCTTTGTAGCTGATTTCATCACTTCCCAGCCTGTCTGTAAGCCACTCTTGCAGTAGGGAGGCTTTAAAGGTACTTTGAAAATAAATGTTTCAGGTATTAGAAGTGACCTTTAACTAGCTGCATGCATCTTCATGCCACTTTGACTAGTTTATTTACATAGCCACAGGCACCCCTACAGACTCTGGGGAAAGCCAAAGGGTGGCTTGGTTTCATCTCAGTGTGGCTTTATTAAAGTAGTTTAGTCATAAAACTAGGCCCTCATCCTTAGAAGAACCCTTTATTAAGAACTGGCCAAATGGTAAGAGTTTATTATTCTGCTCAATGGCTTAAACAAATTAAAGGATAAATATGTTATATTGTGGAATATCAGGTAACTTAAAATAGAGCGTTTTTGAATCCTAAAATTTTGTAAGACAAAATGAAATCAAGTGGTATTTCCCCAACCCCTAAAGTTATCTTACTACATAATAATTTTTTTCTTTTCAAAGCCTAAAATAAACATTTTAAAAACTAATAATCTGTAATATGAACATTTACTTTCTTCATAGTCATCTTTAAAGTACAAAAGCTTTAAATGTGATTTTGTCAGAAAAGTAACATTTGAAACCTCATACCAGATACATTATAAAAATAACATATACTTTTAAACACTTTCTAAAGCACAGAAGTACATAAAGTAAAAAGTGAAATTCCTTTATTCTCTCCTATTACTGCTTAGCTAATATTAGACTATGAGGAATTTGGGTTTAAAACTGGCTAAAAATGTTTCAGGTTATAAAGTTTGTAATTTTAAAACATAAACTGTATTCCCTTTATTATTGCTACCATCTAGACTATTTTATTTCCTACATCACGGTCTGGTCAGTACATGGATTATAATGAATACTTACAGATTCTCTTGAATACCAAGCCCAAAATAGGAAGAAAAGAGTGAGGCAGAGGGAAGGAAGCCAGTGGCAGCTTAATTTTAATTATTGTTGGATGTCTTTGTGTGTGTGTTCTTTATTTTTGTAACATCTTTACACCATACAGTTCACCCATTAAAAGTACATAATTCAGTGGCTTTTAGAGTTGGGTGTCTTCTTAAGCATATTTGATGCATTCTGACCTTAGATCTTGAAATTTCAGTGTTTATTTTTAAAAACTTCTCATAAGCATTTCAGATAATAGTAGACCAGAAAATATAGTGAACCCCAGATGCCCAATGTCCATCTTCCCTACTGACCATCTTTCACATTTGCCCTCGTTTGTTCTGCAGGTTATTCTGAAGCATTTTCCAAACATCATATTTTCTTCCATGAATGCTTCAGTCTGTATCTGTAAAAATGATTTTAAAAAACCACACCACAATAATGTTTAAATGAAAAAATTTTAATATTAATCAGTGTTCAAATTTCTAATAAATGTAACTTCTAGCTTTATTTTATAACTTACAAAAACTAATTTTAACCTGAAAGTTAGTTGACAAAAGATTTGGAATTTTAAATACTTGTATACTATATCTTAATATCTGCTTCAAATGAATTTTTGCCTCTCAAGTAAAACCCCACAGATTCCAAGGCGTGTTTCATTCCCAATCTTCCTGGGCCAACTCGCTCTCTGGCCTCTTTTTTGGCATCTGACTCACCGCTGGAGGAGGCCTCCTCTCACCTTTTCATAAATGTCTGTCTGGTTTGAGATTTCCTGGTCACACTGTTTACAGGATTGAGGGACTCTGAACATTCTGTACTGAGGAAACAGAACAGAGGGTTGGGTATAGCAGAAGTCTGTCTTGCCTTTGTAATGGTGCTCTCATGGTGTAACTAATGCATTCATTTGGGATGAAATGGAGTGGACTGGGGTGGGAGGAATTATTAATGGAATTTATTTCCACTCAGTGGTGCTAATATGTTAAAAAAGAATGGCCTTGGGAGCTAAGCCAATTTGTAACTTTGGAAAAAGTGACTTGCTTTTGAGAGCACCATTAGACCAGGGAAAGGGACTTCTGTTGACTAAATAACCCATTAACTGTATCTCTCTAAGAAGATACAGTTGGAATAATAACAGCGTAGGCATAACCACAGGCATTTAGGATTTTGGACAGGTCAAATCCCGTTACAGCAACTTGGATTCAGTAAGATACCCAAATTCCTCTTTTGTCTTAAAGCTTTTCCTGCAACACTATCAATATGCAATACACTCAGAATTGTAGAACTTTTTTTGTTCTCAATTTTCCTTGGGGAGAAAAAAAAGGATTTAATGTTTTGGGGGCATTTCAGGCCCCCTGCAGCATTCTAATTAGTGGTGTGGCCACACTTACCAGTGCTTGGACCATGGGTGTACCTTGCCCACAGCCGGTTGGCTGCATGACCCAGCACTGGCCTACCACGAGTTTCCCAGCGCGGGACAGTTCATTTCCTCAGGCTGTCCCTAAAGTGTAGTAAGCACCAGGATTTGCTTGGTCCTTCGGGGAAGACTACCCATAAACAGCAGATGGAGTTCCTGGGTGTTAGGAGCTTGTGGTCCGCTGGCAGAGGAAACAGTGGAAGTGCAAGTCTAAGGAACACTGCAGCCAGGGGAGTATTTTGGAGCTAAGGGAGGAGGAAGTTCTTATGGTGCCCAGTCACCCCTCCTTGAGGTTTATCACATCATACGTGAAGCCACACCAAAGGTCTAAAAGTATATCGGTAGTATTTTCATTTTTGTAGCTTTCGTAACGGGATTTAACCTGGAACACCGTTTCACCAGAGAAACGAAGATTACATGATATATCCCCCTGTACTTTGTATAAAATGTACTTAACTGTGTTTATAGAGATAGTATTGAGTATGTGTAAATGCAAGTCTTATGCAGATAGCTTTATGAACGTGGATGTTTATTTTGTTTACTTTTATATTGAGTATAAACGTACTGTTTATACAAAACATACATTAAACAAAACGTACTGTTTGTACAAAACACACTAAAATATCTGTGAAATGTTATTTCTCTGTATGATGGAAGAGAGTGGTTGCTTTAAGTCCCTAGGTTTTTTAAATGGTACTAGAGTAGCTGGTGTTGCTTAACGTGGCATTTTTTTTCCCTGTCCACCATTTCCACCCTTGGTACAGGTATTTTTGATAAAGCTGTGGAATGGAAAGGTATGTTTTTCATGGGATGTTCAAGAATCTTTCACTTTAAATTTTTTAAAGAGCTTCCTTTATGGGATTACTTCTGTGTCTGGCTTAAGTAGACTTACTTTAACTGTAACAAATAACATTTCTAGAGAATATATTGAGTATGAAATTTTGACATGACATTTTAGTTTCTGACTTGCTTTTCCCTATCCCCTTATTAAATAAAGAATATGCAGGTTTTTAAAGCACTTGGGGTGGGAGTTGCTTTTAAGATAATGGTCCATGCCATGAAGAGAGAAAAGAGTCAGGAAGTTGCTTATGGTAGTTAATGAATGACCTAGTTGTTACTGCTAGACTCCTGGTTACCAGTAATTGGCAATTTCATTGAGGAAAGAGATGTAAAAGTGTCCTTTCATCTATTAATATGTGAGGTAAGCTTAGGGGCTTTATTGAATTCACACAGTCCTCTTTTTGGTGGAGGAAGAATTCAGACTGAGTTAGTGACAAGCTGAAAGAGGAGGGTGAATGTGAAAGTGGCAAGTGGGCAGGCTCGTCTGCGCAGGTTCTGTGCCAAGTTTCCTGCCTGCACAGGGCTTTCTTCTCTGTCTGAGCTCTGTGCTGACCACGTGACACGGGTATACTCCCTGTTTTTGCTACCACCTAGCTAAATTGGTGGGAGACTTGACCCACCATTTGTGGTTGGAAGGCCTGGTGGAAGAGCGCCCTCTATTGACTGTCCTTGAACAATGAAATCGTGAAAAGCTGTCTGGGGCTGCTTGTGAGACTCACAGCTTTTTTGTCTCAACACTACATCCCTTTCCTTGTAAAGATGTGAAGCGATTCCTTGGGTGTTGATACTAGTGCTGGGCACCGCTGGTGTGTTTTAGACTGCTACTGATGACGTCAGTAGGCTGAGAGACTCATTAAGGATCTGTGATGTTTTGTAAACCCTGACTGTTCTGGTGGTTGCAAAGTTAGTGTCTGCTTAGTATTCCCCACCTTACTGGAAGTGTTTGCTTTTTCTCATTCATAGAGGTCCTGTAATAAAGAGGAATCCGAACAAGCTCAGAAAGAAAATGAATTCCAAGTAAGTAATTAAGTCCATTCTGCATCTATAACCTGGCATTAGCCACCCATGGGTGCTCTGGTTTGGCGGTGCCTCTTACCTGCCCCTGGAGAATCCTGGTCTGTCTATCTCAGAGGACAAGCCCCGAGTGTATCCGGAACCACTGTGGGAAGACTGAGTGTGCAGCAAGCATCTTCCCACTTCCCACTGGGTGCATAGTAGTGGGCGTGTGCTGTCCTTACAGCCACCTAAACAGCAGTTTGGGGGCTAAGAGTTGGCAGTTGGGGGTGATGTTTGTGCGTGACGTTCTGATGTGGAGGCGCCCTGGCTTCCACTGCTGCACTGTGTCTCTCCACCCCCCTCCCCCGAGCTGTTCACACTTGCCATCACAAACAGGTCACTGGCTATGGCCGTGGCCACCCCTTGGGGGCCAGTAGGAATGTTCTTGCTTTGTATGGTGCCCAGGTCAGAAAGGCTTCCTCCTAGACTCCGAGATTTGAGTCAAAACCACCCCACTCCTTGAAATGCACATGTTCAGAAGAGCGTGAGGTTGCGGGCACTGATGTGTTGCCCGGCCCCTCTGAGGCTCAGCAGTGGGGAGTCTGGAGCAGTGATCTCCGTCCACACTCAGGGAATGAACAACTTTTGAGCACCCCTTCCCAGTATATGCAGGTGTGTGTGCACACACATGCACACACCAATATATAAAACACCTACACACACATAGAGTGGTTTTACTGCTTGTGTACAAATTATTAAAATAATCAAGAAATAGAAATTAAAAAGAGGTGAGATTACAAAGGAATAAAACTACTGATTTTCTTTCCTCATGTTTTGGTGGGTTGTTCTGCATGTGCCCTGCTCTGGAGTCCCTGGTCTAGAGGATCTAGACCTTGTGCTCCAGGGTGATGGGGACAGAGAAGTCATCGGGTGGGAAGTGGTTGGCATTCTGTTTTCAAACATCCTGAGCTTTTGTGTATAGACCTTTGTAAGGCCTGAAAGCTGAAATGTTGGAACACCCTGTGATGCTAAATCCAAAGTATATTCTCAGTTCTCATTTTATCTTGACATTGCAACAGCATTTGACATGATTTCCACCCTTTTTGAACTCGTTCTTCCCTAAGGCAGCCAGGGCCCAGAGGCACAGGGGAAGAACCCTACTTCCTGCCAGTCTTCCTGGCCTCCTTTCTGGGTTCACCCTCCCATTGTCCTACCCTCCCCAGGCTGCCCTCTCTCCCTGGGCTACCTGACCCAAACCTTATCCTTGCCACTCTCCTGGAGGCCAAAGAGGGTTCCTCGCTTCTCTCCTCCATCTTCAACCCCTGCTTGGAAACAACCCATCTGCTACCCGTCTGACCTTTGGGGGTTCTCAAACCAGGCCTCCACAGCAAAGTCTGCATCCCTCCTTTCTTCTGTGTGAGCTGGAGAGTGGGTGTTCTCTCTGATGCCCTTTTCCCCTCAGCCCCGTATCCAAACCAGCAACCAGTCTGCCAGCCCTCATCTGAACTGCACCTTGGATCTGCCTACTCACCTCCGTCTCACCACTCACCTCGCTAGTCCAAGCTACCCTGTCTCCTCCCTAGGCTCCCACTTCCATTCCCATTTCCCACAAACCGTTCTCCATCACCAGAGCCACCTTTTTGAATTGCTCATCCGGTCCTGTCAGCCTCTTGCTTAGCCCCCCTTGAGTGCTGCGTCGGCCCTGGGCTGTGTTAGGTGGGCTTCATCCAAGCAGGCCCCTGTGGTCTGACGCTTCCGAGTTGCCCCGTCTCGTCTCACAGTGTGCTCTCAGTCATGTTGTCCCCAACTGGTTCTCTTCCTGCCACAGAGCCTTTGCAGATCTTCTGGCTGGAATGCGCCATCACCCATTTCCCACCTCCCACTACTACTCAGCTCAGTGGTTACTCCCTGCTCTCTGGACCAGGTGTTCTCCCCCTTGTCATGCCCTCCTGGCACCGTGTACTTCTCCTTTGCACTTCCTATTGCTAGAGATTTTCAGTATTAGGTGATTAATGTCCGTCTGTCGGTTTCTGAATTCAGTGCAGCATCTAGCTGCCTCTTTTGCTGGCTCGCGGCAGCTATAATGCCTGCTGTGTACTTGGGTATAATATATAATTGTTGAGACTGCTGGCTACAGCTGGCACCAGTGGACAGTTCTGGAACATTCTGCCCCTTGCCTGTTGGTACGCACACTTCCTGTCCCTGTCATCCCCTCCTCTCAGGTTACCCATCTGTCACCGCCAACGTCTTCCTCCTTTGCCTGCTAGATTTCCATTCAGGGCCCACGAGAAAGCAGTAGATGCTCTGATCATACACATTATGATCCTTTTGAGTCAAAAGGTAGGCAGTTGGCTGTCAGAACAAGGAAGGTGGTTTGTCTTCCTTGAGCCCCTTTGAATGGCGCCTTTGTCTTCAGTCTTTGTCCCTTCTCTTCTGAACGTCTCTCTTCTGGCCCTCCGTCTTGCCAGTGGGTTTCAGCTCCGGGCAAGTTCTCTATATATTCCGTGAAACCAAGGAATGGCAGTGGAACATTCTTGGGGTAAAGGGGTTCATACCCAGCTTCATGCTCTTGGCAGTAGGTCGAGCACTAGAATCACACCTGCATCCAGCACGCTGCAGGCCTGTCACCCTCCTCCCTCTCTGCCCCCGCCCAGAGCACCGGGCAGAGCTCTTCATACAATGACTCAGTCCGTGATAGCTTATTGCCTACAGGCGCGGAAGCAGTGGCCTTGCGGCAGGCCAGTTCACACCGCCAAGTAGTTCTGGGTCGGGTAAGGATCCTGGCCATAGGCGCTTCCATTTTCCCCACGCCCTGTCTGGAGATTGCTGTCCCAGGGGAGCCCTTCCCTGCAGCCCTCTCGAGATATTTTCCCATCACCTCTCAGGTACCTTGGAGCTACTGGTGGTGTTGGTGTCCCCTTGTCCCTCCCTCCTCTTTTGCTCCTGCTTCCAGGCCGTTTCTCCTCTGTTGAAACCGCAGTTCCTCTGAGCCTCACACCTCGGCAAACACCCCCACCCCAACCCTGCAGCTGCCCTCATGTTGGTGAAGATGGTTGCATCTGGCCCTGTCTTTTTGACCCAGCCGCCTACTTGCCTTTCTGTGCTTGCACCTCTGAACCCGATTAGAGGGAGATGGTGCGATCAGGAGGCGGCGGAGGCTCATCTCCTGCCCTGAGCAGTGCAGGAGAAGCCGCTCGTCTCCTCCGCACCTGAAGGAGGCCAGTAAACCTGTTCTTTGATGGCTGCTGTTTTCTTATCCCGCCTCTTTCTTATCCCTCTTTGCACTTCCAGACCTGTGACCCTCTGCGTTGTACCCATTCCTTCCTCTGGCTCGTCCCCATGCTCCGACCCCGCTCTTCTCCTTCCCTGTCCGTGGCTGCTCCCTACCCAGAGGAGGTGCTTTCCTTTTGTACGGTGACCCTGCTTGCTGGACCCAGCCATCCTGGGCCTCACCCTGTGTCTGCTCCCTTGAGTAGCAAGGTTTTTTCAGAGAGAATTTACATACACTATCTGCTTTCTCACTTCCCAGTCTCTTCTCTTTTTTTTTTGGAAAAAAGACTTTGCAAGTATAGGGCAGTAAAAGAATAACATAATAAACACCTTTATTCCCAGCGTGCAAAATTAGTACTTTATTCTGTCATGTTGTGATTTCAGGCTTTTTTATATGCAGTTATTTTTAACTTTTTGTAATTTCAAACTAAGTGTAGACTTACAGAAAGATTGCAAAATAGTGCCAAGAGTCCCAGACACCCCTTATCCAGCTTCCCAATGTTAACATCTTACACAAACAAAGACTGTGATCAAAACCAGGAAGCCGACAGTGGTGCAGTGATAACGAGAGACATGATGTGGATTCCTCAGGTTTTTCCACTAATGTGTTCTTTTGTTCTGTCCCAGGATTTAGCCGGGGTCCCGACGGTCGGATTCGGCGGCGGCCTCTCCTCTGCCTTTTTCAGTCTGTATAGCTCTGCTCTCTCATTACTCGTGCTCTTGATACTCATGACGGGCACTGATTATTTTATAGACTCTCCTCCCAGTTTAGGTTTGTGTCATCTTTTCTCATGACTGGAATGAGATTGTGCATTTTTGACAATGCCACAGAAATGTTATGTCTTCTCAAGAGGTTCATATCCTTGGAATTACTGAATTTTAATTGTTATAAAAGAAACTACAGGTCAAGTGGAAAGTCTGTCTATACACCCTCTCCCATTCACACCCTACCAGCTGGGCGGACACCTCTCTGGTGGCTCCTTTGCAGTCGTTCTTGTTTTTGTCACTAAGTCCTTTGCTCCTGTTGAAGCCAGTGGCTCAGGCAGCAGCTGATGGAGCACCAGCCTCTCTCCAGCAGGACGCCAGATGTCCTGCTACTGCCCCATCCCAGTCAGGTTCCACATGGTGAGTTGTGAACCTCTAATGGGCCGTGAGATGTCAGCATTTCTGTTGATTTAGTTTTTAATCAAGTGGAGTAGAAAATGCAAAAAGCCTTGCTGCCTGGTGGTGAGTTTGTAAGGTTGGTTTTAGGGGCAGGTGGGTGTTCATGGTAGGTATCTTACCGTGGGGACAGTCAGTGACACCATTACTGTAAATTCTGGGAGTTTTCAGCCTCTGTACCAGTTCCTCCTCGTCATCCGGAGCACTAGCTGTGACCACTGGTTACACTGAGGTCTTTATGTCTGGCCCAGACCTTTCAGCAGACCCGCCAGCTTCTCCAGGCTGCTGTTGCTCTCTTCTTCCTTGACTTCCTCCCCCTCCCCAGTTCCTTGAGTGAGCCAGATTTATTCCCACCTGAGGGCCTTTGTGTCCCTCCTCACCGCTCGGGTGTCAGTGTTCTGTCCTTGGACATAGCTGCCCTGCCCTGCGTTCAGTCATTTTTACCCCTGCCTCTTCATGGCATTATCCTGGTCTGTGTGGGACTGGCTCAGTATGCCCTGTTTCTCTCTCTCTAGAATGCAGGCTCATGTGGGCAGGGACCATATGGTCTTGTTCTGGTGGTTTCCCTGGGCCTTAGCACAGTGCCTGTACCTAGTAGACATCCAGTTAGTACCTTTGGGATGAATATATGAACAAGTATTTCTGAAACCAGAGTAAAGAGTTTCAAGTTGAGGGACTGATCTTCTCTGCTAAGCATGGCTGGCCAGTCCAGGCATGGTGGGTGTAGATGGGGTGTGTCCGTTAGCCCCCTCTTCTTCCCCTCACTTCCCGAAGTAGCAGCCGGAAGGTGTTTGAGACCTGGTGGCTACAGAAACACCATCCATAGTTGATGCACTTATCCTGAGATTCCTGCTGTCTTTTTAACCTGTCCATTTTTCTTGCTTGTGACATAGTGTTTCTCTCCAAATTCTTTCCTCCACACGCCACCCCCTATGAATAAATACTGAACTGCAGTATTACGTAAGAACAAGATATTTCTCGTTTACAGTGTTCAGCACAGTGCTAAAGAGAATCGGGAAGTGCTTAAGTTCCTCTCTGTCCTCTCTGCACTGTCCTGGTGACAGGCTGACTTGTCTCTGCAGGGTTCTGGACAGAGTGTACAGCCTAAGGACCATGACAGCGCTGTGTGTGGAGTGAGCTCCTGTAGCCTTTGTGCTGGCTGGACACAATGTGCCCATGCAGCGCTTCCTGAAATAACGAAGTGGGGCTTGAATCTTCCCTATGAAATTTGAAACTTCAGACTCTAGGGGATATTTGGGCTCAGATACATGTGTATTTTATGTAGTGCCATCTGCAGTACACTTCAGCTTAGTCACTCTACGGAGGAAAGTTGAAACTTATTTCTTACAACATTTTGGAGATGTAGACCAAAGAAATCCTGGTCATAGCCTTTGGAAGCATTTAGGGACTGGCTGGGACTCTGCAGTGGGAGACTGTGCAAATGACAGGGCTGCGATGCAGACTGCTGGGGCTGGGTGTCTGACATAGCACCTTGGCCTGCCATGCCTGGCCTGCCTGGTTTCAGCATGTCCCTGGGTGCGGCGGCCTGCGGCTTCTGGAGTGCCTGCATGTGCTGCCTCAGGTAGCAGGACGTGTGTCCACTCGCGGAGAGCTGCTTTGCAGACCTTTGGGTATCCTTTTCTGTGGGGTGTTTGTGGTGTACTGGAGGTAAAATGGGGCCAGCAGTGACCAGCTCCCACACAGGTTTGCTGTAAGGCCAGATGAGTTGAGTGAAAGCATTTTGCCAGCTAAGTAGAGATGTTAGGGTTTGTTGTCATTCTTTAAGGCAATGAGAAATAAAGCCTGTCTGATAGCAAATCCTGCTCTCAAATCCTTCACTTGATAGGTCAGTGCTGTGTCTGTGTGGTCCTTGTCTTTGCTCAGGCTACCCAGGGGCACAAACAGCAGACATTTATTTCTCACAGTTCTGGAGGTCCAAGATCCGGTGCCAGCATGGTCGGGCTCTGGGGAGAGCCCTCTGTCCCTCCTGAGTCCTCACATGACAAAGGGAGAGAGTGTGCAAGCCCTCTGGTGTCCCTTCTTGTAAGGACTCTGAGCCCAGGAGGGCTCAGCCCTCATGAGCTCACCTAAACCCAAGTCTCCTCCCAAAGGCCCATCTCCAAGTACCATGGCACTGGGGGGGTAGGGCTTCAACATAGGAATGTGGGGCGGACACAAGTTTGATTCATGGATGTCCTATGTACAAAACTAAAAATTAGATAATGGGCCTCACGAGGTGATGGATGGATAGACCATAATTGTGTGGGTTACATTCGATTATAATTATGGGGGATTACCAACAAGTCTATTTCCCCCACAAAGTGTAAAAGTAACTGAATTACTCTTCCCTTGAATGTGGTCCCATATCCTTTGGAAGTAGCTTTTCTTTTTTCGTTTGTTTTCTTCTCACTAACTTTAGTCTGTCACTGCCTAATGAGTTGGGCCTGTTCCATCTCTCAGTTCATTTTGTAGCATGTGTCTGCTTTAAAGAGCTCTGTTTCATTCTGAACAATGTTCCTCCAGGATCACATTCCCCCAAAGCACATTTCTTAACACAGGGTGAGTTAGCATCACCTGAAAGCACTTTCAGACCATGCCTGAAACATGGCCTCCCAGACACATGGGCCCAGAAGCTCCTTTGGAAAAGCGCTGTAAGAGAGCTGGATGCACGTCTGGTCAGGAAGGGCTCCTTCCACCTCACCCTTACAGACGGAAATGCTTAACCTTCAATTTGCTGTTAGGGAAAAGGACTGAGGAATGAATTTTAATTGAGACTGAAAGATAGATGTTGAAGGGAAAATGATGATAGAGCCTGCATTAGTTACCAGGATCGAAGACAAAAGATACGAGTATCCTAGAGATTTGGACGAGAAGACAAACATTAAAGGACAGGGGCAGAGTGGGGAGACGAGCAGAAGTGCTCTGCTCCGTGCTAGGGTGCCCTGTGGACAGGAAGAACCCAGACCCCCAGTTGAAATCAGTAATAGGCAAACATCTGGACACACAGACCAGGTGAGCAGGCAGGTGGCCCCGGCCATGCTCACACCATCGGCGCCCTCACCCGGCAGGCACACCAGCCCTCACCAGCATGTTGATATTGTGGCCTCTCACGGGATGCCCAGGGAGAGACTCTGATAAGTTGTAAAATAAACAGAAGCAGTAAAATGCTGATAGATTAATTGTTCTGCTTTTGAAATCAGTGACCTCAGACTTGAAATTTAAATCCTATCAATATAGTATGCTTGCAAGCGTGGATCCTGCAGATTACAAGATCTGCTGACCTCTTTGTTCATATTAAAATGGGGACGGTAGGAACAGTAATAATAAAGCCCAGTCACGGAGTTGCCATGGGTTGGATGGCCGTGCTCGTGTGGAGGCACGCACACCCGGCCCGTGTCAGCACTCAATGCACCTCTGTTGTGCTGCTGTGTTTCAGGGTGCCGAGGCCATGGTTCTGGAGAGCGTTATGTTTGCCATTCTTGCAGAGAGGTCACTTGGACCAAAGCTCTACGGCATCTTTCCCCAAGGCCGCCTGGAGCAGTTTATCCCGGTAAGATGTGTTCTCACCTGTCAGTGATGAGGGCCACAGACATCACAGGATTCTTTGTCTTGGCACTACAAGCGCCTGAGATGCTGTGGTCCGAAATAGTAAATGTGACCTATTTTATTAAGCGTTACTGGAAATGAAGAAGAACCAAATTTCTGTTGAATTTACGTCAGAACCTCTGTCTTTCCTGCAAAGGTATATTCATCCAAATCAAAAACACTCAGGAAACTTAGCGTCCATTGTTCCCTTAAGCTGCTTGCCCTGGAACCTTCCCCTTTAACCTGTTTCTCTCTACTTCTGAGCCTTCTTTAGAACTTGCCACAGAACAGCTTGGCTCAGGTCTCTGCCCTGTGGGGGCCACCACTGTTCATTGTCTCCCACTGTCCTCTTCCTGTGTAGAGTCTTCCCCCATCACCATTTTTCCAGCAAGTTCCTGCCGCATTTCAAGGCTCAAATCCTGTTCTCAAAGAGTCAGGACGGCCAGTCCTGGCTGTCCTGAGGCAGCAGTGATGTTGCTGTAACGTCTCATGCCTTGTTTAGAGTGACATGTGCCTGGCTCTGCCCCATTCCCGCCCTGAGGCCTGCCCCTGGGCCTCTAGCCGGCCCATTTGGGTGGAGATGCTGAGCCTTGCTAGCCTGCATTCCCGCTGGCAGCCAGGATTGCCGAGGTGAAGCGTCCCCCCGCTAACCTGCGTGAGCTCCTTGAGGACCAGGGTCATGGGTGGCCCCTGCCTTGCCTTGTCCTGCCTCACATGGTGTCCTGACCGCCCGTGTCTGCAGGCGGCACGGAGCACAGGGACACCTGGCTGAGGGAATGCTCTGCTCACCAGGACTCCACTTGCATCCAGCTCAGGGCTGGAAGAGAGGGTCCCAGGGGTGAGAGCCTCTCCTAATGCTCACAGTGGCGCCAGAGTGCCAGCTGCCCTTCTGGGGCTGTCATGGATGGGTGCTGACCTCGTGTACTGGACGGGTGTTGACCAGGCTACATTCAGTCTCCTTTCTGGCACTTGTCTTGGCACCTGGCTGCGTTTTTTCTTTTTTTTTTCCCAGTAAAGACAGTAACATCTGTCTAAACGTATTTGAAAGAGTTCTGCAAATACAAAACACTTCATATAGTTATAAGTGGCAACATGGGTGCATCTTAAAAACGTGATATTGAGTGATTAAACCAAATTCCAGAAGACTACAAATAGTGTCATACCATTTTAATAAAGCCCAATAGAGGCATATTAAAAGCTGTTTAATACATACGCATGTGGTACGGCTTCTTTTTAGAAAAGGTGGGTGACCAATGAATACAACTCAGAATAATGGGAGTGTCTCACAGGGAAAAGGAGCTGGCATCAGTACACATTGGTTGTAGAGTCTGGAATTGATACATCCTACTTCTGAAGTTCTGCACTCTGTAGCACATTACTGATTCCCTTATAGTGAAGGTTTTTTCAATCCTTTTAAAATACTAGGTTGAACCATATGAAACTGCCAGTATTCAACTGTTTTGACCCACAGAAATGGTGATTGCATTAGGCTCCACCGGATTCCATGTGTTATTTCGCACTTCACTCTTGCCCACTGCATGGGGTGAGGTGAATTCATCCTGTCTAATTCCCATAGCCGTCTTTTAGAGGGCACATGGGAATGGTACCTCTAAGAATGGTAGATAGTCTTCTATTTCTCTCTCTGCTGGGAAAGGAATTTGAAATCCTCAGCTTTCTAAATCTTTGGACAAATTAGCTTTAAATTCTCCATATTGCCAAAGAAATCACTGGTACTTTTTAACAGCCAAATGAGAGCTGAGTGAATTGCCTTAAGAAATCCTAAGTATCCTGCCAGTAGAAGCCACTAGTTCCTTGTCCTTACGGTGGCAAGATCATTTCGTAGCTTGAACCTGATGCTTTCCGTGAGCTCTGAGCTCCTGCCATTTGTTGAGACCTCCCTGGTTAGGGGCTGGCCCAGAGCCCTTGCCTGCACTGTCTGCTCCAGCCCATCAAGGACTTGATGGCCTTGTCCCCCTTTTCCAGAACCGGAAAGCTAGACATAGACATTAGACATATAAGTAACGAGCGCTTAGCCGTGTAGCTTTGCAATGAGTATTAACACCAGAATTAGAGCTTGCATTTCTCTTAACTGGGAATGCAAACTCTGAACCCCTGTGTTCCTACTGCTTTGGATTTTTGGAGAAGCACCTCAAGGTTTCCATGTATAGTTAAACAGGTTGTAGTTGACTGTGATCTCCCTGTAGGGAGCTGTGAAAGGGCAGCCAGAACAAGTGCTCCCAGGCTGCACCAGTGGGATCCAGGCGTGAGTCCTCCCTAGTGCCTGGTTCTTTGTTCCACTTTTCCCTCAAGCTGGCTCTCTGCCAGGCCAGGTCCTGGCATCAGCACCGTGAGTGGGCGGAACCTGCTGCTGATTAGGACCCACTCTGAATACCACGTCTTACCTGCAGTGTGTCAGAGTGGCATGTCCCAGCTGTTGAAGGAGCCGGATGCTGGCTTGTAGTGAACTGATGACCTGGGGTTTCTAGCCTAGGGAAGAGGGCATACTTTTCCTTTTGGGCAGAGCAAATAGGAGGCAGGAGCGAGGATTATAGATCATACGTGAGAAGGGTGTTCTCGCGATTAAAAGGGTTCAGAGTGAAGTTGACTTTGGAGGTGGCCTGGCCTCACTGAGAAGTGCCAGAGCAACTGTTGGGTCACAGTTTGCAGGCACAATGCCCAGTCTTAAGGGAGTTTGGGACACTGGATGAGACTTAGATGCCTGACAAAAACTGGCTCTAGTTGTTCAGATTCTGTGACCTCATACGTCCAGGTTACCTGGACAAGTAACATTATCTAATTCTCTTTTTTATTCCAGAGCCGGCGGTTAGACACTGAAGAGTTAAGTTTGTCAGATATTTCTGCAGAAATAGCTGAGAAAATGGCCACATTTCATGGTATGAAAATGCCATTCAATAAGGAACCAAAATGGCTTTTTGGAACAATGGAAAAGTAAGTGGTCAAACAGCTCATCTCTAACTTCCTGGGAGACATTGGTGCTCCCAGAGGCGCCAGAGGTGAGCAGTTGCTTGCCACAGTGGTAGGAGGGCTGCCTCTGGTCCACGGGTGTGCAGGCTGTTGCTTGTTGGGGGCATTTGTCTCATGAATAGTCTTTCTTGCATATAAAAATCAGTTTCTGAACCAGGAAAGAAGACTGTGGCAGAAATGGTATTGATGGGTGGATGCGCAGAAAAACACACTTTGTGGACTGGGGTGCCCTGAGCCCCAGGCCTTCCCCACATATCTAGAGCCCCAAGAATAAGCTAGAGCCCCAAGAACAAGCCATGAACTGAGCAGTGATTGTTTGTTCCCCCATTTTTGGCCAGATACCTAAACCAAGTGGTGAGAATTAAGTTTACGGGGGAATCCAAAGTTAAACAGCTGCACAAATTCCTCAGTTACAATTTGCCTTTGGAACTGGAAAATCTGAGGTGAGTATTTGCTTCTGTTTCCTAAGTACATCTGTCCGATATTTAAATATTCTTAGTCACTAAAACTGCTACTGGTGAACATGTATTAACCACTGCCTCAGGCCTGGCATTGTACACTGCTTTAACAGGATGAGTTAAGCAGATGAACTTTGTGACCAGAATTGCAGTTTATACTAGTGCTGTCACTTCTCTGGTCATCCGCAAAGGTTTCATGAAGGAAGTGAAATTGCAAAGGAATGGTTGGTGGCTAGGGCAGCAGATTATTTTCTGAAAGAAAACAAAACAAACTAGGGGCAGGCTTGGGGGGTGTCAGCAGACAAGGGGAGTGGTTCAAGCCAAGCTTTGGGGGAAATGGAGTAAGAAGCTTGATGCTGGTGTCTGAGCAGAGGCCACAGTGGTGTCTTTAGGAGCAAGAGTGCAGGTTTCTAGTGTTTGTCCCAGGTGTGAGGATTTACACCTTTAATTACTCAAGTACTTCAGTGTCTGCTGTGCTGGGCATAGTGATTGGTGCTGAGGAAATGGTGACCTAGACATTCTTCAAGAACAAATATACTAATGGCAGGTTTTGATGAGATCTGTGAAAGAGGCCAGGGGTCCAGATAGGCAGAGGGGTCCACTCTGGGCCGGAGGTCAGAGACTGGGCCTGCAGGCCAAGAGCAGCTGCTGCATGAGGAAGGCCCTCCCAAGGGGAGCAGTGTGTGCAGAGGCCCTGCCGTGGGGAAGAGCAGGGCACACTCAGCGCCCATGTGTGTGTCTGGCTTGAGCTCCATACAACTGTCACCACATAATGACAGTTTTCAGAATTACTGTGAAGAACAGGGCACGGAGGCACTGTGTTTGTCTGGAGCACTAATACAGTGCCAGGCGTGCTGAGAAGGCAGACCCTGCAGCTAACCTAAAAGTGATGGCAAGTACATTGATGAGTGACAGCCAAACCTTCCTTTTCCAGGTCATTACTTGAATCCACTCCATCACCAGTTGTATTTTGCCATAATGACTGTCAAGAAGGTAAGAATTGCTCAACCTATTATGGCAGAGGTGGGGTTTGTGTGTATACTTAAAAGATGGTCTCCAGTAATTTGAAAAATGCCAGGTGTCCACCATGAGATGCATGTCATTGTGGCACAGCCACATGATGAAGTGTTATATAACCATGGAAAAGAATAAGGTCGAGTTTTTTAAAGACCAACAGAAACATCACCAGGATACATGAAGGGGAAAAAGAAAGTTCTAGAAAAATATGTAGGGTGTTCTCTCATTCCTGTAAAAAATATATTCATAGCAAAAATGTGGGAACATTCACTAAACTGGGAGCTGGGATAAAGGACTTAAACTCTCGATAAGTCACATATTTATTCAATGCTTAGCTTCAGTAAACAGGTATGACTGTTAAAGGCAGTGAAAGAAGATCTCCCCCTTGGTCAGTCCTGGGTCCTTGCCTTCTGCACCATGTGCACATTATGGCCCATCAAAGCCTCCACCTCTTTTATTACAGGTTCTCTGTGCTATTAATGACCTCGGGTTCCTCTGCTTTAAAAAGATGATGGCATTACCCCTTAGAAAAACCGAACTTTAGGCACTGGGATGAAACGTACTGGTTAGTCAGGCTTCCCTGACCAGCGGGGCAGCTCCTGCCGATGTCACCGTGGTAGCTGGCTCCAGTGTGGCTTTGCCTTGCTGTCCTGTCCTCCCCATTCCACCTGGTTAGGGTCCAGCTTGGCCCTTGGACCCTGTGCCAGGCTCATCAGTTTGTTTTTAATTTTGACAACAGTCCCTTCTGAAGACCAGTCATTCAATAAGACATTAGTTTGAGCCAAAATACCTTTTCATAATTAGCTGATCATTACTGGACAAGTCAAGCAGGGTGTTGACATGTCAGCTGCAATTTTGTGTGTTAGTGGAAAGTAATAAACTGCCGAGACGCCTCCAGACGGTGGGTCTGGGGAGCTCAGCTGACCAGTGATGGCAGATGTATGTGAAGGAGTGAGGAGGCAGGGGTGTACATTCACTTGATTCTGCTCGTTGGGACATCTGCCTCCAATTCTCCTTTAACTGGCCGTTGGACATGGAAGTTGCGTTCCGAAAATCCTCTAGAACCGTGCCTCCGCAGAAACTCTGCAGAGAGTGGCCACAGAAGGCTGACTCTCCAGTACCCACCTGCCAGCCCTAAGGCCACTGGGATGTCGGACTTTATGTAGGGCATGGGGGCCTTGGAACATGGGCCTGGAGAGGCTGTCTGGGGAGGGAGCGCCCGCTCTCATCCCCCGTTGAGCCCGGGGCCGTGGTGTTCTTGGGCTGCTGTGAAGAGGAGTCTTGCGGACATGGCCTGGGGCTTCCGTCGCGCTGGGCTGTGGCTCTGTGCTGTGTCTGAAGGCTGCTTTTACATGCTGATGGTTAGGATCCCCTGGGAGACGCAGAACTCGCCACCCTGCTGTTGAAGGACTTGCTCCTTTGATTATAAAACATTCCCCCTGTAAAAGTCATGTCATCCAAACCTTTGTTGCAGGTAACATCTTACTGTTGGATGGCAGAGAGAATTCCGAAAAACAGAGACTGATGCTCATCGACTTTGAATATAGCAGTTACAATTATAGGTAATAACGTTAAAGTGAAAAGATGTTCTTATTTCAGTCTGTTTCAATATTTTTATATGTTACGAAGCAATTATAGGAGAAAAATAAGTCATAGTATCGTTCTTCACCTGGAAGCTGGTGCATTTTGTCCCATTGGCCTGCGGTGGCTGGGAGGCTGTACAGCCCTGATCCCAGCTGGTTTGGGGTGGGCAGTGATGTGAGTAACCAGAACCCAAAATGTGTATTTTGTTGGCTTCAGAGATTATTCTGCTTCCACAAAGTACTGATTGCAGGAGCTCGCTCTTAAACGTGGGGCCGGTGCCGCTCTGCGCTGCATCCAGCTGCAGTTCTGGTAATCCCCGCTGGTTGTCTGTGTCACGGAAGCCATAAACGCAGGAGCTTGGGGGTACAGCCCTTGCTGGCAGGGATGCTGTTGACTTGGCCTCGTTCCGAGGAGCCTCATGGAATGGCAGCTTGTCCCATTCTCTGTATCTTTTGTCTCTTCTTTCAGGGGATTTGACATTGGGAATCATTTCTGTGAGTGGATGTACGATTATAGCTATGAAACATACCCTTTTTTCAAAGCAAACATGCTGAAGTATCCCAACAGGAAACAACAGGTAGGAGTCGTGTTCATGTACTTGCTCGTGGGCAACTTACGTTAGTCAGTTTGAGGTAGTCAGGCTTGATTACATCTTCATTTTTAAAGATGTCGCCTGTAGATTGTGCAGTGGTTCAGCAGACCCTTCTGCTTTACAATGTTATTTTGTGTCAAGAGCCAAACTTGACATTTGAGTCAAACTTTTTGATCCCTGCACCAGGGATGCCTGTATTCAGTCAGAGGAGGCAGCATCTTTTGTAGTTCTTTCTAGTTTTTCCTCAGAAGTCCAGCCTCTGTTCTGCTTTCTGGCCTTATTTTTTCAGGATCAGTGTCTCTCCTCTGTTAACTTGCTCTGTGCAGACAGGTAGTCAGTCCTTTGGCTGTTTTGTGTCCCGTTTTCTGTCCTGAATTATGGGAGTCCAGTGGCTGTGTAGAGAGTCCTTCCTGCAGAATCTCCTCCTGGGACCCCCTCCACTCCAGTCCTCAGCCCATCTTTGAAGCATTGGGTTGAGGATAAGTAGGTAGCAATACGGAAGCAGGCAGGCTGGGGAGAAAATACACTAAGCCTGCGCAGACCAACAGCGCCACCCACCCTTAGACCCCCAGTACAGATAGCTCTATCCCCAGGTCCCCCTGCCTGCTCAGAAGCACTTCACCGAGGTCACAGGGAGTGAGGACGGATGCAACCAGGGGCTGCTCTGTAAACATGAGTACCCCCTTAGCCAAGCACAGTGACAGTCTTCAGTAGGGACCTACTACTAAGGGCAGCCCTTCAGATGTAGAGTTGCTGTTTTCCGGCCCCATGTGAAGCTGACTGCGATGAACTTGAGTATGTCCAAAGCAAAGTGACTTGATGGATCTGGACCTCACGGTCACGCTCCGTGAGACCAAAGGGCAGAGGTGGGGCTGCTCAGCCCTGGGAGAGAAGTGCAGCAGCCTTCAGGCACGCGCTTGGTGCTGTGCTGGGAAGGAGGCAGTCCTACACAGCTGGTGGGAACTCTCAAATCGGGGGGAGGGGCTGGCCATCAGTGAGAGAGCACATTTCATCTTAATGGAAGGCAGAGCTGTGTAACCGCCAGCACTGCACAGCCGTGGCAATTAAAGGACACTCCATTCCTATTTTCTGGGAGGTTTTAAACACATGTAGTTGTTGGTCTTTATCAGATACCCTTTCTGCATCTGCTGAGATAATCACGTTGTATCTCTTCAGTCCATTAGTGAGATGTTTTAAATGTTAAACAATCCTGAAATTCCTGAAATAAACTGTTATTCTGAGTGAGTCGTATTACTTTGTAATGCTCTGTTGGATCTAGTAGGCAGTATTTTAGGAGTTTTACATCTGCACATACGTGAAAGGGATCTTTAATGTTCATTTTTAAAATAGTTATTTGTATCTTCTTTTGGAATAAAAATTAAACTAGTCTTATGATGAGTGTCCCTTTTTGTTTCCTAGAACAAACTTATATAAAGTGATGTTCTTTGAAGTGTGGTAGACATAGCCTGGGAAACAGTCTGGGCCTAGAACTTTTGGGGAGAGAGGATCATGAATTACTGTTTTCTTAGGGTGTCAGTGTATTCAGATTTTCTGTCTTCATTTACCAATTTCAGCATTTAGCGTCTCCCAGAAATTAACCCATCTAGTGTGATGGTGGGATTTGGGGTTTTAAAAAGGAATCTGTAGTTGGATCCCAGATGATGCCACTGGTAAGCTGTGACCCACTGTTGGTATGCGTCATTCTCCTCGTCTGCAGAATTTACTTTGTGGCTGTGAGGAGTGAGTGGGTAGGCAGAAGCCAGTGCTCAGAGCAGTGTCTGTTACGTCGAATTTAATAGGTGTACAGCAGTCATCTTTGCTGTGCCAGGTTTACTTTGGGATCAAAGGCCACTGCCAGGACCTTGCCTAGGACCACGCTTGAGCTAGAATGATGCTTTCTTGTGGGAGCTGACGTGACACGTGAAAGCCGAATTTAGAATAGGGAGGGAGAAGAGGCTGTAGAGGGAGAGGTGTTCCTTTTCCAGCTAAGTGAGCAGTCGCTGAGGGCCTCGCCCGGGAGAATAACTGACGACTGTTTTCTTATTTACAAAGAAGGTGAGTGTTGGTTCGCTGTGTCTGTGGCCTTTTGATACAGTATGAAATGTGGATGAATGAGGGATCTTACGAATCCTAATTCACATGTGGGACCTCGTAGGACCTTAGGTAAAACTCCCTTCTTTGAACCCAAACTGGATGTTGCCAGTTGGATAGGTGTGTCAGTGACCATGTGTCTTAGAGGTGGAGGGCCCTTTGAGGTGTCCGGTCCAGCTTCTACTCTGAGGGAACACCTGCTGATGAACCTCAGGCTACCCAGAGCCTCGTGCCTCGGTACTTGCAGCCGTGCTGCACGAACTCCAGCCTGCCTGGGGAGAGGGTTGTGTGGGCTGACCCTGCTTTGTTATCAGACAGCAGAAAACATGAGAGTGGATCACATGAGGAAAAACAATTCTACCTAAGCTACTTTCTCCAAACCCGTAGTAGTTCCCCATACTTGTCTTGCCGATGTTAGCACTCTGACATAAGCTGGTGATCACTGCCAGATAAAGTGAGCTTCCTGGATCCCCGTGCCTGGGCACAGCAGTGTGTCGCTCTCTCCCAGGCGGTCTCCAGGCTTCTCCGACGTGACCAGGGGAGTCATTATGTAATGCATCATAAGAGCTGTTAATATGAACTGCTTTTAACTGTAATTGATCTAACAAAATTATTTTTTTTTAAAGCTCCATTTTATTTCCAATTACTTGGCTGCATTCCAAAATGAATTTGAAAACCTCAGTAATGAAGACAAGTCTGTTATAGAAGAAGAAATGTTGATTGAAGTCAATAGGTAATGGTTTTTCCTTTGCTGATCTGTAAAGACAGCTAGCTTCTTTATAGAACACATGTGGGATGCCTACTTGCAATTATGAGTATTTTAGCTGCTTTACAACTATAAAACTCCAGGACTTGTACTTTCAAAAGCAGAACATTGGGTACTTCTCCGTGTGGCTGAGTGTGTTCTGATCTTTCAGATTTGAGCACACAGTAGGTAAGGAGAACAGGGTCTGTGTTCAGACAGGATGCTCGGATGGAGTTCTGAACTATAATCCATGCATAAGACTCAGCCGTACAAGGCTGCTGCCCCTGAGGGCCTGCACACTCTTGCACTGATACCCGTAGAGTGGAGGGTGTCATCTAATGTTTCTCCTAGGATATAATTTAAAGTTGTGAATTAGTTCTGAGTCTTACTCAACTCTTCTCAACAGCTTCTGAAAGCAGGACTGGGAACTTTCCAGATACAGAAGTCTAGACTCTGTTTATTTCTACATATGCATGTCTTTACTGAGAGGCTGCATTTCCTCCTGTTCTTCCAGGTGTCTGGTGAGATTATTTGGTAGAAATGACTGTTTCAGTAACTTTGGCCCCCTTATCCTGCCCACCCCACTGACCACAGCTCGCTTCTTGATGGCCTCCAGAGGTGTCCACACCCCGTCACTGAGCATGGGGCCACCCCAGTTGCCCCCTTGGCTCCACCTGCTGCATAGGTCTTCCCTTTCTGGTTCTTGAACAGATGGAAATAGAAAAATGGAGGAGGAGGAGACCCAGAAAGAAAGGGAAGCACCAAGGGGCTGCATGGGTCAAAGGCCACAAGAAAAACAGTCAGGTGTGATGATGCAAAAGCGTTCCTTCCTAAGTTAGAGCTTTGAATGAAGACGACGTGCTCTTTCCTGTCTTGTCAGCAGATTCTGACAGCAGGGCTGGGGACCTTACAGATTCTGCAGAAGTCTAGACCCCTGTTTATTCCTGTGCACGCATCTCTTGAGTTACTCATATTCTTCATTCTGCATTTGAATGAAGCGCAAAGGTATTATGAGGAGAACCTGGATTCTCGGTGGCAGAGGGGTGTGGTGTGGCTTAGAGATGGTGCCGTGGCTCACGCTGTGTTCTGCTGTGCCTCGGTTCTGTGTGGGAGGAGGGCACAGTGTCATCCTGCCTCCTGGCAAAGGCAGCCCGTTGTCCAGAGGCCTGAGTTTTCCTCTTGCCAGTGAGCTTGTGGTAGGATTGCTGCTGCAGTCTGCTCACACGTGGCAGTGTTTCTCAGTGCAGCCCAGGCTTTGCCAGTATGGCCACCAGAGCCTCTGTGTGCATCCTGTGAATGATGTGTGCCAGGGAGAGCTGGTGGCTGTGTTCAACCTGCAGAGCCACTTGCCACCAGCCAGACACAGGGAGAGGATGGCTTGGTGTGCCCGCTATTCTCAGCAGCCTGTTGAGTTTGCTGGTGCAGGCAGAGCGTGCCTCCCGATGAGGTAGAATGTCCGTCCGGCAGGAAGTGACCTCACAGTCATCCATCTGGTACCACACACCTCACGTGCATTTCCTGCTTTTGTAATTACAGGTTTGCCCTTGCCTCCCATTTCTTCTGGGGACTTTGGTCCATTGTACAGGCCAAGATTTCATCCATTGAATTTGGATACATGGTATGTTTTGGGGATGGTTTTTTTTCTTTTGCTCCCAGGAAAAAAAAAGTTAGCATGTATGTGAATGCTTGGTGACATGTGGCTTTCCTCACAGAGGGTTACCGGTTCCCCACAAGGATCTGGACAAGGTGACCTGGCAGCAGTATAGTAGGCTCAGCCCAGAAAGCTGAGGGAGAAAGGGTGCATAATTTAAACCACTTTATTGATGCTGCATCTGCCCTTGGAGGGTGCCGGCAGTCCCTGCCCTCCCTGCCCGGACTTCAGAGGTCCGGCCCCGACCTCAGTCCCCTCACATGGGGACGCAGAGTGAAGGAGCGTGGGCTGCATGGCCGTGCCGCGCGGCGTTTTGTTCATCTGCTCCAGTCCAGTCTCTGGCCCGCGGCACCCAGCTTAGAGTTGGAAGCTGATGCTGATTGAATTAGGCTTTCTATTTGTTGTAGGTAAGTTTGTACCGCCAGACTTGTGTTTTTATTCTAAGCTTAAGGCATTCCTTGACAGGGACCGTAGCGAGCATACCGCCCTGGGACAGGTGGCGGGAAATGACTAGTTGATTTTATCCTGCTCAGTTCTGTATTAGGATGATTGCTGCTTCTAGGCAGAAGGTCTGGGTAATGCTCAGGTAATAAACAAAAGAAACAAGGGAGATTTGCATTTTTAGAGCAGATTGGGAGTCATGGTCAAATGATGCTAAGACAAAGCAGACTTCAGAAGAGGAATATTACCAAAGATAATGAACAGCGTTTCATCATAGAAAAAGAGATCAGTTCTTCCAGAGGACGTGCAAGATCCTAAGTGCACGTGCGCATATCTCACTTCAAAAGGGATAAAACAAACCTGACAAAACAGAGAGGCAGATTCACCAAGAAACTTCCGCCACCTCTCTGCTGGGTGGGACCCGAAGCACAGCCAGTGAGGACAGAACTGAGCTGGTGGCAGCCACCCAGCCTCTGTGGCACACATTCCTGTCCAGTGAGCATGGACCATTCAGGGCAGACCATGTGCTGGACTGTCAGCAGCTCTCAAGTTTAAAAGGATTGAGGTAAAACAGAGTATGTTCTGATCACAGTGGAATTAAAAGTCAACAACCTCAAAAAAGATACCTGGAAAATTCTCAATTATTTAGAAGTTAGTTATGTTTCTGAATAAGCCCTAGATCAAAGAAGAAATTAGAAGGATAATTAGAAAATATTTTGGATTGAATTACAATGAAAACACAGCATACCAGAATTTGGGGGATGGAGCTAAAGTAGTGTTAGAAACCTTATAGCTTTATAGCTTAAATGTTTGTATTAGATAAGAAGAAAGTTCTCAAACTAGTGGACCTAAGCTTCTACCTTAAGAAGCTAGAAAGAAAAACCAATTAAGCCCAAAGTAAGTAGAACTGAAATAAAGGTAAGAGCAGAAATCATGGAAATTGAAAATGGACAAAAAATAAAATCAGTGGAACCAAAAGTTGATTCTTCAAAAAAATCAATAAAATTTACAAACTGCTGGCTATAAACTGAGTGAGGGAAAAAAAAGGACAAAGATTACTAATGTCAGGTACAGAGAGGATATCACTACAGATCCTATAGGTGTTAAAAGGGTAAGAGAAGTTTATGAACTTTTTGCCAGCAGATTTGAGAACTTGCATGAAATGTGCAAATTTCTTGAAAGATACACTACCAAAACTGACTTAAAAGAAATGGCCATATGTTTATTAAATAAATTTGAATTAATAATCAAAAACCTTCCTATAGAATAAACTGCAGTCCTGGTGGATATCATCAAACATTTAAGAGAGAAAGAATACCAATCCTGCACAAACTTCCAGAAAATAGAGGAGCTCATTGGATGAGACTAGCATTACCCTGACACCCAAACTAGATAAAGACATCTTAGGAAACCTGCAGATGAAATCCCGTCATGAACATTACACAAAAAACATTACGATATTGGTAGAAATTAAATCCAGCATATATAAAAGGATAATACTTTATGACCAAGTGGCATTTATCCCTGGAATGCAAGGTCAATTTAACATTTGAAAAAAACCTTAACAGGACAAAAACCATATAGTCATCTCAGTGAATGTAGGAGAAAAGCAGTTTACAAAATCCAGCACCTGTTCGGGGTTAAAAAAAAAATCTCAGCCAACTAGGAACAGAGGGCAACTCCCTGACCCGAAGAGCATGCGTGGGAAACCTAAAGCTGCCATGATCACTAGTCAGAGACCGGCCGCTCCCCCCACGCCCGCCCCACATAGCGAGTCAGGTGTTCGCTCTCCCTGCTTCTCTTTCACAGGATTGCTAGCGTGTCTAGCCAGGACGGCAAGGCAAGAAGAGAAAGTACAGATATAATGGAAAGGAGGAAGAAAAACTGCCCTGATTTTATAGGTAACTGATCGTGTACATGAGACTAATATTAAAGAACCCAACAGAAAAGTTATTTAAACTACAGAGTGAGCTTGTCAGGGTCACAGTACACAAGGTCAGTTATAAAAACCAAGTGCATTTGCACATGCTAGAAATGATTATAAATGAAAAATTTTGATTGTTTATAATGGCAAAAAGGAAACTAGGGAAAATTTTTTAAAAGATGTATATAGTCTGTACACTGAAAACTAAAAATTGCTAAAAGAACCTAAATAAATGGAATTTATATATGGATTTAGAAAACTCGATATTGAGGTGACCGTTCTCCCCAAACTGATCTATATTACATAGAGTCTCCATGATCCCAGTCAATTTCCCCACAGGCTTTTTGGTAGAACTAGACGAGCGAATCAAAAATCTAGATTTTAGAATGTGGAGATGCAAAGGCCCTAGGATAACTAAGACCGAAACTAGAACGAAGTCGGAGACTCACCACCTGATCTCAGGACTTACAAGACAGCTTGGTTTTGGTGTAAAGCAGACGCCAGTGAGGTGGATCGGAAATGACTGCCCAGAAATAGACTCACACATATATAGTCCATTGGTATTCAATAGAAGGGCCAAGGTGATTCATTGAGGAGAGTATCAGATTTTCAAAAAATTATTTGGGAACAACTGAATAGCCCATAGGGGAAAAAAACAATGAACTTTTGATACAGTGCCATAACTTGAACTCACTTGAAATGGGTAATAGGCCTCATTGTAAAGATTAAAACTATTAAGCTTCTAGAAAACATGAGAAAATCTCTGTGACCATAGCAAAGATTTCTTAGGTTACATAAAGCAGAAATGAGAAAAAAAAAATTTTTTTTATATTTGCCTTTGAAAGACACCATTAAGAAAATGAAAAGGCAAGCCACAGAGAAATCTGTATCTGACAAAGGACTCATGTAGAATATATAAAGAACTCATAATCAGCAAGAAACCAAAAAACCACTTTATGAAAGGATGAAAGATTTGGCCACTAAGCATCTTTTCTTCTGCTTAATATAATTAATCATAAAAGAAACACAAGTTAAAACCCCAGTGAGATACTCAGCATATCCATGATGATGACTAATTTAAAAAAAACTGGCAGTACTAAATGTTTTCAATACAGAGCAAATGGAACTCATGTTACTGGGGAGATTGTAAAAGGGTGTAATCAGCCAGGAAAAGCCTGCCAGTCTCTTTACGTTAAATGTACACTTAGCACACAACCCAGCATCCCTGTCTTTGCTGTTGATCCAGGAGTTGAAAGCATATTCCCACACCAAGACTTATATTCACATGCTCACAGCAGCTTTATTTTTAATGACCTCAAACAAAACAACTTACTTGCCAGTCAGCAGATGAATAGATAAATACACTGCATTAGATCCATATAATCGGAACCTCCTCAGCAGTGAACAGGAACGAACCCCTGATGGACACAACAGTATGGATGAATCCCAGGGGCCGGTGAAAGAAGCCAGACACAAAAGCGCACATACTGGATGGTTCCACTTAGGTGAAAGCTTTTACTTATTAATAATAATAATACATGTAAAAGAACTATCACAGGCCATAGTGACAGAAATCGGATCAGGCACCTGTGGCCAGGAGTTAGGGATAGGGTTGACTGCAGAGAGGCCTGGGAGCTGGAATCTCTGCTCAGGATCACCAAGCTGTTGGCGCACTAGAGGTAATATTTATGAGAACTGCCAAACAGTATATTTAAAGTAAGTCCTTTTTTGTGGTATATAAATTATACCTCAATGTTAGTTTTTCAAAGTGATGATGTAATGGTGGTGGTTAGCAGTGCAGACTTTTCTGTGTGGAGTGGGTCATGAAGAGAGAGTTACCTGCAGCGATGGGCAGATGAGGCCAGACCCAGGGAAGTGCCACGCTTGGCTGCTCCAGTGGGAGCAGGACTCCAGAGCGATTTCCTCCCTGCGCTCAGTGGTGCCTTAGTGGGCATGCTGAGGGGCTCCCGAAGATGGGCAGCACCTCCTTTCTGCACCTTTGCTCTGCACTTGCTAACCCCCAGGACTCTGGCTTTGGAAGAGGAGCCTTTGTTATGTCTGCGGCGTCCCAGGTCAACCAGATGGCGGATACAGACAGCAGCCCCCATCTGGGTTGGCAGGCTGGGCTGGCTGGGTGCTGACGCAGGCACGTGTGGGCAGGGCCGTGGCAGGGCTGTCTAGAGCAGCCGGGCTCCCAGCAGCCTGTGGGCAGGCAGAACCGCTGGTGAGGCCGCTCCCACTTGTGTCTCCTAGGACTATGCCCAAGCTCGGTTTGATGCTTACTTCGCCCAGAAGAGGAAGCTCGGGGTGTGATGGTGGGGCGGACCCCTCGCGCTGCACCTGGACGGTGTGGGCAGCTGCGCCAGCGGGCCTGAGCCCGGTACCGCACCTGGGGCTGGAAGGTGTCGGGGGGCTTGCTGCCCGGCACAGATGTGTATGATACAAAAGACTGTATTTACAACTGAGTGACATTTATTTCCTATCTTGTTTACGATTTACTGGGACTCTGCGGTGAGATTGGGAAGCAGAACTAGAATACAGCAGCGCGATACCTCGGGATCCTTGTGACGCAGAGAAGTCATTTATATCTGGGGCCTGCAGCCCCCGGTCAGACTAGACAGCAAGAGTAACAGGGTTCCTGCAGGGGCTTTTTTTGCCCAATGTTGATTTTTAAAAGTATTTTAATTAACATGCTGGTGAACACTGTGACCAGGCCCTCTAGGTGACTGTGTGTAGACACTGCCCGCTCCCCAGTGGCGAGCGAGCAGAGATTGACTGTGACGTTGCTTTGCGGCCTGACCTCATCTCCAAAAGCTGCTCCTTCACCCTTTAGGTCCAAATGTCTGACGCTCAAGTTGGCAGGCTGCACATGACATACGCGAGCTGCTGCCTGCGCAGCAAGGATGACTGTAGCTCCTTGGGGCCTGTTATACTTTGTCATGCTGATGAATCTCACCCTGGAGGCAGCCTGGCCGTGCCCTCCTCCTGACTGAACAAGCCGTATGAACCCCAGCTCTGGAGCAGGCAGGGAGCCATGGCCACAGAGGGCCACCGACGGAGGGCTGCCGCCTGGACCAGGAGCAGTGCAGGGCGGGACACATGCCTCTTGTCTGCTTCCCCAGCAGGGAGCAGGCTTTTTGTGTCCTGCTCTCTGCTGCTTTTTCTCCTCCACCTCTGCTCAGCCAGGAGCTGGGGCGTCTGTGACAAAGCTGACTGCCCCCGGGCTGCAGCGTGCGGAGAGGGGACCCTGGCCCCACCTCTGGCCAGTGCCCACCTCACTGCTTCTGATGCCCGTGACGTGTCCGTCCGGCGGGGACAGCCTGGATGTGGGGTGTGGGGGCTTGGACAAAGTACAGCTGTGAAATCTGTGTATAGGAGATGTCCTTTGGGATGAATGTTTTTTAACTCTGAACTCTTGTTTTTTGTGTATACATTCCTGCTACTGTGAAGATTGTACCATATAGACAGCAAAAAAATAAAAATCCTTCCTCAGCTGTCACCCTTGATGTCACCCTGAGTCTCTGGGGGGGCTCCTCTCTTTCTCGTGCCCATGACCGGCTCCCAGTGTGTCTGGAGGCAACTGGGTGACGGGCCAGCACAGGAGGGAGACCTTCCACTGCTCACCCTTCTAGACATTTAAAACTTTAACCAGGCGAATGCGTTTTGATGTCCAGGGGACAGAACTAAGGTAAATGATGCTGCACTCCTCCCAGGAGCTCCCAGCCCCTCTGTGCCCGCAGGGCCGCGCGGTCATGGCCCTGAATCAGGGCTCTGTTCCAGCCCCCCTTCCCTGAAACACAGGCTCAAGTGCCATTTCCTCAGCAGAGATGCTCTGGGGCCAGATCTTCAAATGATGGGTCCTTCCCATCCTTCACCACCGGGCCTTTCTGAACCCCTCCATCTGAAGCGGTGCCGTTCTGTAGACCACCTCACTCCCACTTTCTCCCTGGCTCACCACTTTTATTCTCTATACCTGGCTTTTCCTGAAATTCCGATTTGTTCCCTCAGATGTCTCCTGCGTTAAACCCAAAGCTCATGTGAGCAAGGGCCAGGCCTGTCCTCAGTGCAGTTGGCCTGCCCATCCCTGTGGCACCTGATAATGACCTCCACACCCCAAGAGTGCCTACTCCAGTGCCTTTGCGTGTGCCAGTCTCACAGTGGCCAGATGTCTCCAGCCAGGCTGTCAGCTGTCATGTGTCAAAACCAAGGCAGGGTCTTCACCTGGAGTCACCCTGCCTCTTCCCAAAACGTGCCACACACTCAGCTCTGAGCCTCTGCTCAGGATATGTCTGTCATTCCACCCAACCCCACCCTGCCGTGGGTCTCTGCCCAGCTCTGCTCCCTAGGAAGGTGTGAGCTTGGGGCCCTGGGCTCAGTCCAGACCCATCTGCAGCTTTCCTGAGCCCCATGTACAGCTTCCTCTGTTCCTAACCAGACACTGCTATCAACATTTCTTAGAGCCAGATCTCTGCCAGACGTAGGGTCCCCACAGAGCTGCCCATACCCCAGCCTGGCATCTGGGGCCCTGAACAGGGTGGTCTCATCTAAGGGACACCTCCCAGCAGCTGGCCGAATAAGAGCCACAGTCATAGGGCCTGGCTATCTGGTTCACTGTGCCCAGGGCATCTCTGGCCTCAAAGTGGCCTTTGTTCCTGGGGCCTCCAGCCAGAAGAACCGCTTCACAGCTCCTTGGCCAGAGAAAGCAAAGCCTCTAAGCATTGGCTCTGCTGCCCCGCTGGTGGGAGAACCCGGGCCAGAGAGCCCTGCAGGATAATTCCCCCACCCCACCAGCCAGAGGAAGGTCTCAGGACTGCTGACCCAGGCAGGGCTGGGCTGTGGCCTGGGCTGAGGGGGACGCACGGCCTGGAGTCCAGTTCAGCATTTTTCCCGTCCCTTCTGGCCCTGGGTGAGTCTGGGCTGCCCTGGCCAGCCTCTACCTATGACAGTGGCCGTGGGGGTGTGGACACCACTGCCCCATGTGGAGTGCCAGGCCAGTCTGGGTGTCCCACCTGCTCTCTGCTTCAGAGCATCTTCAGTGACTGGAGCCAGTGCCAGCGCGAGGGCATGGCAGTCATGCCAGACATGACCCTCCATGCCCAAACATAACTCAGCCTGTCTGCACACCAAGGATGGAGAGCGCCCTCTCCCTGGCTCGGCCTGGAAAGACATTGCAAGCTAGAATGTGCCAGAAACACCCCTCCTTGGTCCTAGTTCTGCCCCCACCTTCACCTCAGAAGTCTGGGATTATTACAGATGTACTCATGGGCCCTCTCCCTGACCGGCCCAGGCCCCAGATCCTAGACTGGTACCTCTGCACCCCTCACCCACCTCAGCTGCAAAGACAGGCACAGAGGCTAGCAGGACCAGCCCATGCCCAGAGCACAGGCACTGCCACACAGCCTCCCCCGACCCTGGTGCTCAGACAGGACCGAGAGTTCCTGGACCCTCCTCTTTATTCCTTGCTGGCCTCAGCGAGGTAAGGGGCAGGGGTCACCGGCATGGCCATAGGTGGGCACTAGTCATCCTCCACAGCGAAGGTGAAGGGGCTCAGCTTGTAGCCGGTGCCAGAGTAGAACTTGTTCTGGAACTCCACCCTGGGCGTGACAGGGGAGACCAGTAAGGGGAAGGCCCCGCTCCATGCCACTGAGCCCGCCCGTGGGCCACTCACCAGTGCAGCCGCAGCGCGTGCAGGAAGGCCGAGAGTCCCTCCATCACCAGCAGGATGGCCACGGTCAGCACAGCGAAGGCGGCAAAGATGGGGACCAGCACCACAGCTGCCACACCCACACTGCGGCCTAGGCCCAGGCCCCCACGCATCACCATGGCCCACAGGACCTCTGACAGTTCTGTGGGTGGAGGAGGGCAATGGGGAGCAAGGGGGTTGAAGCCTCTCTTCCTGTGAAGCTGACCCTCTTGACGTCCCCACTTTACAGAAGGGAACACTGAGGCCCAGACAGGTGACCCACTCAGGCGGCCACTGTATACATGCGGAAAATGTTGCCAGGATGACCCGTGGCCACCCCACCCAGTGCAACCAGGTCACTCACGGGCATGAGCCAGGCTCAGGGCCCAGAGGCGCAGGTAGGAGGCAGTGTTGGAAATGCAGCCCAGGCAGAACTCGATGGTGTGGATGGCCTGGTGCATGAGCACCTCGGAGAGGACAAACTGCGGGGGGTGGGGGCAGTGAGGGCAGGCCGGCTGGCAGCCACATCCCCACTTGAGGGCCTACACCCACCTTGGCCTCTTGGTTCCCTGGGCACCCTGCCTTCTCCTCATCAGAGCCCCAGCCAGACACCGACGCAGCAGAGGAGTCCAGAAGCCCAGTCTTGTCCTCATCCTGGGGGTGGGGAGCAGGCAGCATCAGCAGGCCCCAGTCCCAGGGGCCCTGCACGACCCCCTCCTGGCTGCTCTCAGCTGCTCGCACAGCCCGGCCGCGGCCCCACCTCGCCGACGGCCCTCCCGCCACGGGCCCCAGTCTCTACCAGCTGCGGGCCACCGGCTCTCCTCAAGTGGCGGCGGTGCTGCCAGTGCAGGAACAGGGGCGTGCCAAGCAGCAGGATGGGCACCATGGCCAAGGCCAGGACCACCAGGATAGACTGCACCACCTCCTGCAGGGAGGGGGCTTGAGTCAGGATGCCCCCTGTGAGCCGCACACCGAGCATGGGCCACACAACCCGGGGCCCAGGAGACTGCAGCCCCGTCCTCCCCCAGGGCTCCTCACTGAGTAGGGACATCGTCCCGCAAGGGATGCTGGGGGCGAACGGCCTGCCAGCCCCCTCGTGCCTCCCTGCCCCTTCCACCTCGCTGTAACAGCTGAATGCCTGCATCCCTGTTTCTCGGAGGGTCTGCAGCTCTCTGGCCCAGTGCCCCTGGGGCCCACAGGGGGTGTGAGCCAGCATCCCCACCCCAGCGCACCTGCCCCAGGAAGAGTGGCTGGTTGGTGGGGCTGCTGGAGAAGAGGAACATGTTGATGAAGTGGATAAGGATGCTGGGGGCTGAGGCGGCGCTGGTGACCGAGACTCGCAGCCACTTGTAGACAATCAGGAAGGCAAGGTAGCCAAACAGCCCCAGCAGGAAGACCAGCTCAGGCAGCGTCTCCAGCAGCAGTTTGTGCCAGTGGCCAAAGTGCCTGGGCAGGAGCAGGGCCAGGTCGCTGGGTTGCCAGGTCACCGGACCACCCTGGCCTTGCCTGGCCCCCATGCCTCCCAAGCGGGCCTCACACATGGTTGAAGACGCCCAGGAGCACTCCAAAAGCCATGTGCGTGACCCCCAGGATGACGGACATCTTCATCTTGAAGGAGTTGAGGAAGCTCAGGTGGTTGACCGCCAGGCTCCAGACCTAGGGTGCCAGAAAGGGTAAGGGTCACGCAGGGGCCTCCTGCCCGGGTCACTCGTCAGCCCATTCGCCTCCTCCTGGGGCCTCGGCACAGTGTGTCACCCGCCCTCCAGCGTAGGGACAGCAGAAGGGAGTGGTTAGGAGCACACGTGGAGCCGGACACCCCGGCTCGTCCCGCTGCGTGGCCGTGGGCCCACAACCTGTGCCGTGGCTTCCTGATCTGTAAAACGGGAATAATGCTCAGCTGGGTCTCACGGCACTGCTGAGACTAACTATAAACTCATTTCACATAAAGGGTTCAGAACAGTGCCAGGCACAGAGGGGGCTGTGGAAGACCCCGGATGCTGCCCTCACCAGGGCACATGTCCCTTTTTGAAGGGATCCCCTACCCCTGCCTTGCCCCCAGCCTGCTGAAGGAGGGCTGAGCGAGCCGGGCCACCCGGCCGGGACTCACAGGGTCGATGCCGAAGGGGTACGGTCCTCGGAAGACGTCGGTGACATTGGGGTCCAGGGTGAGCAGCGGGTTCTGTGCCAGGTACATGTTGCTGTAGCAACAGCAGGAAGGCGGTCAGGGACGGAGGGGTTGCGGGGCCAGGGGCGGCCGGGGTGCCTGGGTGGGGTGGGGGCCGCGGCCAGGCCTCACCTCCAGCCGGAATGATTGGCCATCGCCGCCGCGCTCCAGCCCGAGGGGAAGATGGTGGTGGCGCGGCTGAAACACTCA